TGCATGTGGGTTCGAGTCCCACCGTCCCTACCAGTTAAATCTTTTTATAGTTGATGGTTTAGCCGAGGTAACATACGAGCTAAAGCCTGTTGTGGCGCATGATCGATGGACATCGGTTGAGAAAGCTCTGATTTTACTTTGTCGTGTATGGTGGAGCGTCTGCCAGAGCACACTAGAGCAGAGTATGCTAAGGTACACTGAACTGCACTAAAACGGGAAAAGGAGGTGTATTGTGAAGGCACTAGATATTGCGAACGCGTTTGTCACGCTCTACGGAAAGGGTGATTACCTTACCAATATGAAACTCAATAGACTTGTCTACTTTGCATATGCCGAGAGGCTTCGTGCGGGCATTCAACTTTTTGATGATAGACTCGAGGCGTGGTCATATGGTCCTGTTGTTCCTAGCGTTTATAGAGCATTTTCGACCTATGGGAAGAAACCAATTTATGAGTCTACTGCGACAGATGTGCCGCAAGAAGCGTTTTTAGTGGCCAAAAATACCTGGAGCAAATATGGCTTTTTGACTGCTTATGACATCATGGAATTCAGTCACCGGCCTAATAGCGTATGGGCTGCTGTTTACACTGAGAACGCGCAGGATGCGCCTCGCAATGTGCCTATTACCGATGAAATGATTCTTGCTTCTGGCGACGGTAAAGATGCGCCACAACGAGAAGGGACATTTGCTGAGGCGATTGATGAGTCTTTGGTCGGCTTGCATGGTGTTCTCGAGCTGCTGGCGGATAAGTGAGACTTGACGATCTTCCTCCTGTCGTGCTTAATGAGGCTCAGTTTGGCGAGTTCGTTTCAACTATTTGCGAATCGCGCAGAAAAGTGGTCGCGAGGGCAGGAAAGAAAATATACGATAGGGAAGTATCAGGATCGGAAAACAACGTTGAGCGAGTTGTTCATACGGTGATGTGCTCACGGTATATGGATCAGTGCGGCGGCATTATTGAGCAGGCTGCCGCACTTACTGTTTCATTGGCAAAGGGTCATGTGTTTCCGGATGGTAATAAGCGGACAGCTGCAATGGTTCTGCATGTCTTTTTGCGCAAATGGGCGTCTGGATTTGTTCTGCCGTATCCGGAAGAAGAACAGGAAGAAAACGAGCTCAGCAAGATCATTCAGGATGTTGCTGCCGGTAAAGTTTCAGCGGACGGGCTTGCTGACTGGATTGAGGAGCACATCACAAAATCTTCTTGTCACAAAGGGTGAAACAGGGTACAATTCAAGTACGGTGCCCCGCCTAACCGGGCAGC